CAGAGGCAGGCTTCCCAAGGTAAAGACAGCTACGTGGAAGCAAAGGGGCTGTGGCATGCCTGGCTGGTGTGAGCTCTCCGGCTGCAGACCTGCACGTGGCACTGCTGCTCAGGTGGAAGGGCCAGTGAGTTTCCCTGGGGCGGGGCACGTCCTGAGCCCAGCAGCGAGCGGTCTGGAGCCAGCGTCACAGAGTGTGGCAAGATGGAGACGAGGGACCTGCCACGTCCTGGTCCAGCCCACCCTCAGGCTCAGAAACAGTCTTGAAAGGAAAGACGGCTCAGGGACTTCCCTGGCGGTCCAGCGGTTAGGACTCGGTGCTTTCACTGCCCGGACCCGGGTTCAATCCCTGGTCGGGGAACAAAGATCCTGCAGGCTTTGTGGAGTGGACAAAAAGCAAACAAAAAACCAAAACAGAACAAAATAACAACAACAAAAAAACACCATGGCTCAGAAAAGCATGATGGGGAGCTGGAGGCATTCAAGCCAAACCAGATGGACCTTCTACGGCTAAGCAGACCCTGCCCCTGATTTCCATGCAGAGCCCCATTTTCTGAATCTAGGCAGTTACCTGGATGAAGGGGTCTGCCTAGGGAGGCTGCCTCCCCCCACCCCCCAGCCCAGGCACCAAGGGCTGATCAGCCAGGGCCCTCAGATGGAAAGGACAATCTTCCAGCCAGAGAGGGGAGGCCGGGACCTCAGGAACAATCTTTTCAGTCAGAGAGAGGAGGCTAGCGTGAATACTCAGTCAATGTCCCCAATTTCCTGTGTTCCGTGAAATACAAAACACACCAAGTCAGCAGTCTTTCACCAAATCAGACTTTCCTGGAAAGTCACGACCCAAGTGAACATACTTTTTCAATGTACTTTCCTTTCTACTGAAAGGCCTTTGGTCCAGTTACCAGGCGAGCTTCTGCTGCATTAACACAAGATGTTTAAAAGTCCCGGAGTTCAGTTCAGAGCTGTGATGTTAAACAGACTTCACTTCTCTTCTTACAGGGGCCCTTTTGAGCCCCAAGCCTAACACATCTTGCTGCAAAGCCACTGCTGCTGGGCCAGGGAACCAGGAGGCAGACAAGAAAACCAGAAGTCATCTTTACCGGGGGCGTTTTAAGTTCCTAGCACTTAAGTTCTAAGCATTAAAGAAAAAGTGGATTCTGGTAACAAGGCTCTTGGATGTTACGATTCCTGGGAAAGCAGGACCCCCTGTCCGTCCACGGAGATGTGGAAATTCACTCAGGAAGCCTTCCTAATTCCACAGCGCGTCTTTCGGAAAGCACGAATGTCCCCTTCATGCACCCACCCATCACATACGGGCTTGTGAGCCTGTGATGTACCGGGTGCTGAGGACTCCATGAGGAGGATGTCCTGGGCCTTGGGGGATCCATGGAGAGAGAGAGACAGGCAGGAAATCACGACACGCAAGATCACAACCGTGAGCAGTTCTGAACCACAAGAACAAGTGCTTTGGGAGTGCCTGTCCCGGTGGAAGAAGCACGGTACTCAGAAGGACTCACAGTTTTGCATCACACACACCTCTGCAAAGGCTTTGAAAGGAATCCGTGATGTTTAATACCAGCCCTAATGTCCTCTTGCGTTTCACAGTGATGTCAAAAGCTGGAAGAAATTTTCCTGTCCTTGCATTGATTTCATCCAGAAAACCTGACCCCGTGGCAGGAAGGTGATGGCAGGTCTGAAAACCTTCCAGATCTTCAGGTGATTTCTGTCCAGGTCAAAGTGGGGGCAGAGACAAACCTGCCTTAAGAGTGGGGTCTCAGGGTTGGGGCAAAAAAAAAAAAGACCTCAAAAATTACTGTCAGGTCCGTGTCCATCGGAACCAGCTTTCCCAGCGTTGCAGCCACCACCTCCATTTTCCCTGAGGTTTGGGAGCTACCTGTGCCTGCCCTGGAGAAAAGAGAAAACTCCAGCAAGTTCCTGGGAGGTGATGCTGGTGCAGGCCCATCCCTGGCAGACCCCACAGTGTTGTGGGAAAATGGCAGATGGCTCTGGGGAGCTGCCAGCCAGAACCCTGTTGCTGCTGCCCTTTGCAGAGCTGGAGACGTGTTCACCTAACACACCTCTGAATAGTTAGAACTCCTACTGTTTCCTATTCCGGTTCTTAGGGACGGAGCCTCGAGCAGCAGGTTCATCGAGAAGGAGAACTCAAACTCTTAAAAACCACCAGCCCAGATGCTTAAGGAAGAGGGCCTCCTGGGAGGTGAAAGGCTAAGAGTGGACCCCACAATGATCTGAAACTGCCCTTGCATTAAGGATCGAATATAAAAAAAATACACGTATTTTAGGAGCAAGAGTTGTTGTACTGCCCCCAAGTCAGTTACAAATCTGAATAAATGTAAATTTCCAGATAGCAGATAGCGCCCCAAATCCACACCCTCTCTTCTGCTCACAGACCCTGATTTGGTTCAGGTAACCCACCCTCCTCTCCCTGATGGGCCTCACAAATTCCATCACAATAACCCCCTCCCTTGCCACTAATTGGCTGGGGCTGGACACGAGGCATAATTCTGGCCAATGAGATGTGTGGGCAAGTCAGCGGGGGAGGGCCTTGGGAAGTGCTTCCTCACTTATAATGAGAGACCCCAGGAAGAGCCAGGTGGGAGGGGAGCTGGTGGGAGACAAGTCGGTATGTGGAGGACGGCAGAGCAGAAACAGGGACAGAACCTAACTCCCTGACCTTGCTAAGCCCTGGATATAACCCATCACAAAGCTGCCCGACCTCTGCACTTATGATTTATAAAAATTTTAATGTTCTGATTATCTGTCATTTTGAGTAGAGTTTTCTCCTACTTGCAGAGGAAAGAATCCTAATCAATATATTGCATAATCTAAGCAATTCAGGCACCACAAATTACCTTGGAATAAAAATTTTTAAAAAGCAAACCACTTAACAAAAAAGTCTCTGTCACAAAAGTTTCAACAGCAGAAACAGCTTTCCTGTCCTCTCCCTGTAAAGTGCAAAGGGCAATTTGAGACCATCACAGCATCTACTCTGAGCACCCGGGTGATGTTCCGGGATGCTGGCAGACAGGGGAGGGGAAGAGAGGAAGAGAGGAAGCCGTACCTACGATTTAATGATGCCAAACAGGACAAAACCGGTCCCTGTTTGCGGTGGGTAGTCCTGGGTTTGTTCTTCAGACCTGTGCTCTTTCCCTTCCTGCCCTCAGGCCAGAAATCCCCCCAAAGACCAAGGGAACAGCTCCCTGGCTAAATAAAATCTGGGTGAGAGTGCTGGAGACCAGCTTTCACAACTCTAGTCTTCTGAACAGGAGAGGTGATTTGAAACTTCAAACAATTTCAAAATAAAACCCAGCCCAAGGGCTGTAATATAAATTTTGAGTTTTGGGAGAAGCCCAGCACTCCCCGTGCTTCTCTGAGTAGGGATTGAGGGCAAGGCAGCCCCCAGCCCGAATCCTCCTTATGGAACAGGAAAACAGCCCACCTAACCACAACAAAGTCTTCCGCGGGCTCTCCATTTGCAGTTACAAAAAAATCTCATCGTTTCTGGACCTTGCCTTCCTGATTTGCCATTCAGCATCCAGGCTCCATATGAAATTTGCTTTTCAGAACCAAGGACCGGACAATTAGACCTGTTTTTCTAACGTCAAGGTCAAGTTTCCCACACAGACAGAGCAAATCCTCTCCAAACACGCTCACGATTTCCCCTGAAAATCCCAAAGGCCTTTTTCTCAAGTCGTAAGTGTTGCCTGAAGTTGACAGCAAACTGAACCAGCAGAAAAGATAAGACGGTGGGTTACCTGGTTTGTGGGCTGGGGGAGGACCCGGGATGAGACCCTCAGCTGTGGCCCTACAGCCGCAGGGCTGGCTCCACCTGTCCGACCTGCCAGGCTCTCCGCCACACCTCCAGGCCTGGGCTCACTGCCAGTGCCCGGGCCCGCCATAGGTGTGCGTTCACCTTCAGAGAAGTGCCGGCACACGGGTCTCCCCCACCCTGCTCCCACCCTGTGACCTGCCCCCCCAGCCAATCAGGCACTGGAACATCTCTCCTGAGTCATCTGGATTCTAAATCTAAAGCTGGTAGAGAAAAGAACAAAAGGGAAGAGGAAGGAGGGAGGGGAAGAGGGAAAAACCCAGGCCCACGTCCACCCAGTGTCTCAGTGATGGTCAAAGGTGAAAGCAGGTGGGACCAATGAGCCTGGGCAGGGCCTTCACGGTGACGGTCAAGGTCAAATTCCAGGGCTGCTCTTTCCCTCTGGGTGGCTATTTTGGGAAAGCAGCTTTGCGCCAGCAGTCGACAGACTGGCTACTGCGGACGCTGGAATCCGGAAGACTCAGAGCTCTGCCAGCACCGGCACAGGTGAAGGCAGGGAGAACAGCCCCACAGAACAAAAGGCAAGTTCCGGGCGCCCCGGAAACTCCACTCTGAGCACCCACAGGCCCACCCATGCCTCATGGCTCCAACCCTTCAGTAAAGATCTCTGGGCACCTGGAGTAGGAACTGTCTGGTTTGTGAGAGGAGGTCCTGACTTGCTGTGTTAACCTGGGGCTGATGGGCATGGCCGGTGGGGCTGGTGGCATCTGGTCCAGCAGCATCGCTGGTTATCACCGTCCTGCCAATCCAGGATGAAGTGCACTTGGCGGCCAGATCTAGCTTCTGTTTGTTCCCTGCTGTTCCCTTGCACTGTTCTCTGGCCCGTCCAGCGTAAGTTGACGGCGAGCATGGAACTCTCGGCACTGGCCGAGTGTGAGGGCACAGGCGGTGCCGCGAGGGAGGGGGGCCGGGGGGTGGGGTGTGGGCAGTGGGGATCGCGTGCTTCTGAGGCAGCCAATTAAGTCGAGCCTCTGGGCACACTGAGATCTTCCGATAACTAGAGTTTTCGAGTGCAAGGCAGGTTCTAAGATCTAAAGCCCCCACTAGGAAACCGGAACCCATTTCCCTAAGGAGTCGGTGAGGGACAGAGCTTAACTCCTTGACCTTGCTGAGCCCTGGATATAACCCACCACAAAGCTGTCCGACCTCTGCACTTTCGCTTTATAAAAATTTATAAAAATTGAGGCAGGAAAAGGAGCCCAAGAGAGGACCAGTGGCGGAATTCAGACAGAACCCAGCCTCCTTCTTCTGGGTTACAGCCTCAATTACCAAACGTGGGTAGGAGAAGGCGTGGCCTCCGACCCCAGGGTTACAGTCTACGCTGTGCTTTGTGAAGCCCCGTCTCAAAGCCAGCAGCTTTCTCTGGGGCCCCAAGAGAGGCCACAAACAGGCCAGGCGTCGCTCAAGGGTCCTGACGCACAGCAGTGAGGCGTGACTCTGGGTGGGTCCCCCGGGGACCTGACTGCCTCCCCATCCTCCCTCTCCAACAGCCAGTCCTCTGCCTTCTTCTCCCGCCAGTCCTGGGTCAGAGGCCTCAAGAAAATCCCCCAAGCACTGGCCAGCTTCAGACCGCCCTGACCCTCACATCATCGCTAGCCACTGGGCTAAGACCTAAACTAATGGGAGAGAAATGCTTGGCGATTTCAGAAAACTGAACTGCAAGGGTGCTCACAATAAAGTTGTCAGCAGGAGCCCTGCTTGCCCTTGAACGCTCTGCCTCCAATCTGGTAGACAGGAATCTTTTACATTTACGTACAAAGTCCCATGATAAGTCACTTGGGATCCCCCAAAGTAGGAAGGCTGCTTGTGGTTAGAGCTGGATGAGTCAACGAAACAAACAAATGAGCTCGATGAGGTCAGCTTCTTGGAAAAGGAACAAAGAAAACTGCGCCCAGGCGAGAAGCAGCTTACAATGCCAAGGCAGTGGCCACTGAAAGCCCGTTCTGAATCTTCGAGGCCGGTGCCTCTCAGTGGGGGCGATTTTGCCCCCCGGGGGGAGATCTGGCAATGTCTGGAGACCTTATCGGTGGTCACGAGTGGAGGCGGGGATGCTCCTGGCAACTAGTGGGTACAGGCGTGCTGATAACATCTCACCGTGCACAGCACCGACCCACAGCAGAGAATGACCCGCCCCAAATGGCAACAGTACTGCGATTGGGAAACGCCTCTAATACCACGAAAGAGATTTTCCTCTCTTCTTTAAAAGTCCTGGACAAATGGTCACCTTTAATCACTGGCCATATCCCTCAGCCCAGAGGGCCACCTGCTACCTGCCGAGCCAGGCAATCACAGGTCAGTATCTTTGCAGGGGCCTCTAGGAACAGACCCCAGCTTGGGCGAGCTGCCAGCTGCCCCCAGCCAAGGATCCCAATCCTCAGAACTGACACCCCCCGCCCCCCGCCACTGTTCAGCTGCGGAGACCTCCCAGTAAAGCCATGGAGAGTCCTCACCATCACAGCAGACGACCTCACCTGTGGCAGGTGCTTCCCGGACGTCAACGACCTTTCACTTACTTTGTCTCGCCCCAATAAATAAGAGCCTTGCCCATTAAAGCCGTCTTTCTGCGTTCCTGACCTGCCAGGCCAGTGGGACACGCCGGAGCCACACGTCCAAGTGCACAGGGGGATGGGGTAGGGAGAGCATGTGCCCACCTTCACATCACATGAAGGCAGGGCACTGAGGGAAGCTGGGAGCTGACTGAGACCCCCGAGCTGAGTCCAGCCAGACTCCATCCCCTGCCTCCCCTGAGTGTGGGGGGCATCCGAGGAACAGGATTCGCAGAGTCACTCCTGCCGGGTGAGCCACCAGGGACCGGAGCTGGGCCGATGGCACAGCATCTGGGGGTCACCCTGGCTCTTAACTGCAGACTCTGCAATAGAGGGTCTGGATGTGAGTCCCGCAGGGACGGGGGCTCTGGAAGGATACAGAGCCCATCACACTCCCAGAGGTTTTTCTGCCATTAGGCTCAGCCAACAGTCAACAGAAACCACCCCAAGAGCTGGGCGGATGGGAAGGACCCACGCCCAGGCTGACAGTGGCCGCCTTTTCGGAGTTGGGACTAAGGGGAGAGGCAGGTCGGAAGGGGCCCCACCCATTAACTTCATCTACCTCTGAACTGTGTGACTTTTTATGAGCACTGCTACTAATTTTATAATTTGAAAAGAACATTCACAAAGCTGAAGAATGAGGGCAGAATATCTCGCGTCCACGCCTCCTTTCCTGGGAGCACACTTTACCTGCTCGGGAGTCTCTGCACTGCTACCTTGATCGGGCTGGTGATCCCGGGTACCAGACCCCAGAAAGCTGCCCCAAGGACACTCTGCAAAGGCCAAAGAGAAAGGGATGAGACAACCTAGCCTAACGTTCCCGCTAACCTCAGGAAACAAGAAGAGTCCAGGCCGGGCCAGCAGCCCGGGCGGGAGGGAGGCTGCCGGCCCGACACCGCTACATCTCCTGCCAACACTCCCTGAGCAGCTGGCTGTCACCATGATGGTGGAGGAAAGTCATGTACGGCTAAAACGTGTCTCCCCCTCACCCCTCCACCACACCTTTAGGCTCAGCACCTTCTCACCACCCAGTCTGCTCACGATTGGAACAAGGCCCAGCCTCCTTGAACTGCCAAGCTGACCTTCGTGTACCTCACTTCGGACCCGCGGAACCCGAGATCTGGTTTTCCACGTACAATCAGCTTCTGGCCTGGGACCCAGCATTGTCACCATGGCTCAACCACTCACTTCTCTCCACCCCTGGAGTTCTGGGCTCCCCTCTGCTGACTCTGTTACCCACAGCCTGGTTGAATAACTCACACACAGGTGTCCCCAAGACCATTTGCCTTCCCAGGTTCCCCTGTCCTGCATGGGGGGACCCAGACACCCAGAGACAGGGCTGGAGCTGGGGGGACAGGGGTGACCCAGTAGGACAACTCACATGCTCACATTCTTCTGGGCGTCTACTTCACCACTAACATCAAAGGAAGATTAGAAATGCAATGTTTGGCCATAACAACACCACATTTTAACAGTAGAGTACACATTGCAAAATGTTGTAAAGAAAAATGGATACGTTGATAAAAGAATATTCAAAAAAATGGTCTAAAGCTTGTGTGTGTGTGTGTGTGTGTGTGTGTGTGTGTCTTTAGCTTAAGGATATACAGGTACAGAGAAGAAAACACAGGCAGAACAGTCTCTGACCATAAATCAAAGCAATATTTTTTTGGATCTGTCTCCTAAGACAAAGGAAACAAAAGCAGAAATAAACAAATGGGACCTAATTAAACTTGAAAACTTTTGCACAGCAAACCATTGACAAAATGAAAAGACAACCGACTGAATGGGAGAAAATATTTGCAACTGATATGACCAATAAAGGATTAATATCCAAACTATATAAACAGCTCATACAACTCAATGTCAAAACAACAACAACAACCCCCCCGAAAACCAAAAAGCCCGATTAAAAAATGGGCAGAAGACATGAATAGACATTTTTCCAAAGAAGACATACAGATGGCCAACAGGTACACGAAAAGATGCTCAACATCGCTAATCATCAGGGAAATGCAGATCGGAACCACAATGAGATCTCCCCTCACACCTGTCGGAATGGCTATGATCAAAAAGACCACAAATAAATGTTGGCAAGGATGTGGAGAAAAAGGAACTCTTGCACACTACACTGTTGGTGGGAATGTAAACTGGTGCAGCCACTATGGAACACAGTATGGAGTTTCCTTGAAAAAATAAAATAAAAATAGAACTACCATAGATCAAGCAATTCCACTCCTGGGTATATATCCTCCCTCCCCCGCAAAAAACCCCCAAAACTCTAATTCAAAAAGATACATGCACCTCAGTGCTCACAGCAGCATTGTTTACGATTGCCAAGATATGGAAGCAGCCTAAGTGTCCATCAACAGGTGAATGGATAAAGAAAACATGGTGTATATCTATACACAATGGAATACTACTCAGCCATAAAAAAGAATGAAATTTTTGCCATTTGCGACAACATGGATGGACCTGGAAGGTATTATGCTAAGTGAAATAAGTCAGACTGAGAAAGACAAATACCATAAGTTATCACTTATATGTGGAATCTAAAAAATAAAACAAATGAATATAACAAAAAAGAAGCAGACTCACAGATTTAGAGAACAAACTAGTGGTTACCAGTGGGGAGAGAGAAGGGGGAAGGGGCAAGATAGGGGGAGGGGAATAAAGGTACAAGGTACTATGTAAAAAAAAAAAGCTACAAAGATATATTGTACAGCACAGGGAATATAGCCAATATTTTAAAGTAACTTTAGATGGAGTATAATGTGTAAAAATTTTGAATCACCACATTGTCCACCAGAAACTAATATAATAAATCAGCTATACCTCAATAAAACAATAATTTAAAAAAACTAAAAAAAAAGAATATGCAGGTACAAAGGCAAACAAAACCAGTATTCCCAGTGGGCTAAATGGAAAAGCTGCCCCTTGGATGCTACGGAGATGCTGCCCCTCTGGTTCCCGCAAGAAGGGAGCAGCTCCCTAAAGCCCCAGTCTGGGAACTGGACTCTGGAAGTTAACTGGGGGTCTGGAATGCAGGGGTGGGAGAATGGAAGAGATATAGAAGCCAAGCAGACACGAACTCACTGCATTGAGCAGTAAATTAATGGGGGAACCTACCCACTGCCCCACATAGGGAGGCTCGAGCATCCAGTCTAGTTTATGAGGCAGGGCAGGGCAGGAGGACCCAATGTCCCCATGTGATCAGACAGCTCAAGGCTGGCCTGACAGGAATTATAAAGGAGGGATGTTTGTGGACCCCAAGTGTCATCCGCTCTGCTCCTGTCCCTACATACTGATGGCTCACTTTCCACCTACGCCCACAAGTATTCAGCGTCCTCAAACCCTGCCTGACCGCTGATCCACTGAGCAAAACCTGTCCTCAGAAGAACCGGACACCACAACCTGCAAACTGGCTGGCTGAGCAACAGCCTCGCCGGTTCAAGGGATTTTGCACCTGACTGTAGAGTGAATTTGACTTCTGGCTTAAGCCAGAAGAATGAAGCTCTAATTTGTAAATTTGAGCCACAAACCAGCTCACTGAAGGAGACTGGGCGGGGGTGGCAGCGGAACGGAGATTTCCCCGAGATCACAGCCTAGGACCTTCGGCTCACTCGGATGCCGGCTCTCCTGCCTCTGCACCTTGCGGGGCCGGCCTCTCTGTCTTGAGCACCCACTTTCCAGCTTCAACAAACAACCCTTACTCGTCCCTCAAGTCTCGGTCAGCCCTCCTCTCCTGGGGGAGGCACGGTACATGCCCTGGCCGTGGGCTCCCATGCCCACCCCAAGCATCACCCATCAACGCCCCGGGCTGCCGTCAGAGTCAGGAAGCCCTGGTTCACATCCTCTGCTCGCTAATGATGAGGCTGAGCTGCAGGTGTATCGTCTGTACAAGAGGATGCACAACACTGGTTGAGACAGCAGATGGGAAAGTATTTCAGAAACTGTAAATGTAAGGAATTATGTCTACATGTTAGACTCTCTTGAGCACACCTAATTTCTAAGGTAACAGTGATTTGGACTCTTCAGAAGTTTGTTCGTTGGGTACCTGGAACCAGGAATGCTGCAGCCCAAAGGGACAACGGTGTCAGTGTGCAGGTGCGATGACCCAGCTGGGGGGAGTCCACTTAGCTGAGCGCCTGTGCTCGGAGCCGACCTCAGGCATCTGGAAACGCCTCTGCGACACTGAGAGAGTACATTTCTGTTGTTTTAAGCCACCCAGTTTGTGGTCATTTGTTACAGCCTCCACAACACCCTCAAATACCCCTGAGGTCATCAGGGAACTCACTGCAACAGGAAGAGGGAGGGGACAGGGGCTTGTGGGGGAGGAGTGAGAAGAGACCTCTGAGCAGCCTGAAACTCCTGCCCTTCCTCAGAATGTACTGTTACCCCCAATACTGTGCTCTGTTAATATTCTCACTTTCTGTTAATCAGTACTCTCCTTGGATAAACCTAGTCACCCCAACTTTACAGTTAGATGAAAGTCAAAATCAAGTAAACGATGTGACTAACATTAAATGCAACGAATCAAAGCTTTGTTTTCAAATGACACCCACTCCCTTATTCTGATATTGGGGTGGGGCACAATTGCCCTTGAGATCCACTTAGTAACTCGTACCTTACACACAGTGCTAACCTGCTGTAGGGATGGGGGTTTCTAGCCCCGCAGTAATTTAGAAGCAGCCACTCAGAAGGGAGGAACAGGTTTGCTGCAATCGGATTCACTGACGAAACCGAGGAGAGACAGGTGAGGGTTGCAGAGCCAGAGAAGAAATGCGAATGCTATAGAACACACTTACTAATGTGTACAACAGCCCGGTGCCCTGAGGCCGTCGTTCCACACTACACAGCACAGCCATGCATCTTCAGTGATGGTCTGGCTCAGCAGGAGAAGGTAAAACTGTGTTTATTCTGCTTTAAGAAGCATACTGTTCCCTTTGTCCGCCTGTCCCCCAGCCCACAGTCCTAGGCAGAGGGTGTCCCACCCTCTCCTCTTGTGAACTCTGCCCTGGATGCAGTGAGGGGACTGGCGCAGAGCTGGGACCACAGCCCAGAAGGGGCTCACCAAGCGTGCCAGCCGCGGGAACACATAAATGAATGGATAAAGGAACAATAAGAGATGGGTGAATTTAAAGTTTTGATTAAATGTCTGAATTCCTCACTGGGCTTGGCCTCTCTCTCTGCTGACTCTGCCTCAAGCTCCCGTGGCTCTGTTTCTCTTTCATAAAATTCCTGGGACCATTTAACCATGGAAACAGCCATGACGATATTAACGAGGGCAGTCCTCAAAATCCAGGGGGATCAGGAAAAATTGTAAGAAATGCCGCCAGTGTCTCAACTTTTTTAAAAATTGTAAATTGCTGGCAGGACAAGAAACTACGAGGAACAAAAGGTCCACAATAGAGTTAGAAATGGTGGTGGACAGACCCTTCAGGCCCCGTGACTGTGGCCACCTAGTGCTCAGGCCCTTGTGCCATCCCCTCCCCTTGGGTGTGGATGGGACCCGGGACTTACTTCTGAACAAGAGAAGAGGGCTAAGGTGGCAGGATCGCGGATCTCAAAGTGCCTTCACACCATCCGGGTTCTAGGTGGCCCTGCAGTCTCCCGCACATCGTGCGTGAAGCAGCAGAATGACCACGACTGCAGACTCTGAGCCATGTTACCTGCATTCAAGCCCGGCCTCAGCCATAACCACACTTGTGCCCAGCAATGTAAACCCCCTAAGCCTCAGTTTCCCCATATGTAAAATGGGTACAATAGTAGCTTC